AACATGAACTAACTTAATGTATTATAACTATCCAATTGAAATAAATATTAACCTGCTTATAAATTATAACTATTTATTTAACGCACTATCAAAAAATATTAGAAAGTGTTTTAATTTGCTATATTTATCACGAGAGAGTTTTAATTCCAACATAATTTGTTTTAATAAGTGCGCTACGTAGTTCTGGTATTCTAGTAATTCTTATGTCAAGCGATAACTGAGTTCTTATTTATTTTAAATCAATGTTCTTAAAACAAATTGTAGAACACATTGGTCGGTAAAATAGGAAATTTTGTTTTGCTAAGTACTGTTCATGAAGTTCTTCAATAAGAGCAAAAGCATCTTGGCATTAAAGATAAATAGTTTTATAACTCTAGTAACAAATATTAGAGAAATATTCAAATTAATATATTGCTATCTATAATTATCATCTCAGGTTATAATAGTCCGAGTCGGTTTTTAACAGATTCAAGGCCTCTTCTATCTACTTCTGGCCCCAGCTGTTGTCCATCAGTGATTGATAACTCTTGTTCTTCATAGTTACTTTTTTTTATATGTATTTTAGTAACTGTGCTTTCTTCATTGAATCTGAGTATTCTATTTCTTTTGAACGAAAAATTTAAAAGTCTATTACTTCGCCATATAAGTGATAACATTCGTCATTATATCGAATAAGCATATCACCACTTTTATATATTGGACCAAATAACATTTTAATAATTAGTCCTTGTAGACCTTAATATAGATATATTTACTACAGATAGCGTTGACATTTCAGCTGCATAAGGAAAACTTATTTTAGAAGGGTCTTGTGTAGCAGGACATTTGATTTTATCGAAATTAATAGCCAAAATCGAAATTAAAGGTCAGATTACTCCTAATTTTTTTGCTATAATATGTACATTGAACAGCAAGATTCTTCTATTGCTGTTGGTAATGATTGTTCCTAAGTATGTAATGTTCTTAACTATCTTTGTCATTCTTTATTTGGAGTTGGTACATTCCCATGCATTCCCATGCACCAACTACAGTCCTTTCGTATCAAGTTATACTTTGGTTTTACTAATATGTGAACTATTTAGAGTAATAGAGGAAATCACCAACAAGGTGACAAACTGAGAAGACTGTGAGGTCGCTAGAACCTTATGGTCTAGGTGGGACAAAAATAAAACAAACAGCCTTTTAGGCTTCAGCAAAGCTGCAGTTCGTGTGCTTACTGAAGTGCTAAAGGGCGACTGTGCCATTGCACCTATGCTCCAACGGTGGCGAGTTCCAACAAGAGGATTATGCAGGAGTTGCCAAGATGAAGAGGACGTAGAATCTATCAACCACTTCCTTTGTCTCTGTCCAAGACTTCAGACAAGGCGATTTCAATGTCACGGGGATCGCTTTTTCACTGGCTTGGAAGAGATAACGAAAGCAAACTTATCGGGCCACCTCAACTTCATCTGGAAAACCAAATGGTTTTCTCGCCTCTCCCGGCAAAATTTTTTGAGGACATCACAATGGGCAATATATTCCTCCGAGTGGAAGCGCTGACAACGGTCAGCACGCGCCATCCACCTAATCTAACCGTGGTTTTACCAACATTTACTTTCAGTCCCACATTTGCTGCATCGTGCAGCTGCGTATATCTTCTACGTAATAACATTAAGCGTACAGATCGTCAGTGTTAAAGAATACTTTTGCTGACATAATAAATAATTTCGTTCCTAGCTATATTGCGCGATACAGTATTGCCTTTGCTTTTTTGCAAAAAGAATATAACAGCTCATCGAATAGTCTCAGTTCTAGATATATAAAATTTGAATGATAAAAAAGAAGTCAACCTTAAAATTAACACTGTCTTTAGTGTTCAGATTATAAACTTATTGTTTTGTATTATGTAAATGCAAGGACAACAACATTTACGATATATAAAGCGTATTAGAATTTAGATAAATTTTCAATATGCTTGCATAGTTAATTAAATGAACACAAAATATTTTGTGTAATGGAATTTGAAAAATGTTAAAAGCTGATTTGCTTAATTTTAAAGAGACGACAAAAATGTTATTAAAAAATTTATTAGGAATCCGTTGTAATATTTCATTCTTTGAGGTAGATAAAACTTGTAATTTGTCAATTTATTCGCACTTAAGATTTACAATCATAAAAATGCGATAATATTACATATAAGCGTCTTTTAAGTATTAGAAATAAGAAAGAATAAAAAGAGTTATTTAAGAAGTCATTGATAGTAATTAGAAATAAAAATAATTATGAGAAATTAAAAATACGTAGAAAAACTAAAACAATTTAAATAATTATAAGCAATTACTATTAAAAAACAGTTTTTTTTTGTTTTAGTCTTATATACCTCTGATATTTAGCTAATCTCATTTAATTGTAAATATGTTTTTTAAATTCCATTATACAAAATTTCTTGTGTTCACTCAATTAAACTATCCA